AATCGCACAGAACCCAAAATAACCGGTAGAATCGTTACCGAAAATACTCAAAACGTGTAGAAAAATCATATCAATAACATATCAAAAGTTGTGCGGTGAAAGTTTCGTCAATACAAAATGCGGCGCGTTTATCGGTAACGAAAACACAATTCTGTACACAAAACGACCAAAACTCAACATCTTCGAAAATAGAAATAGGATTCGGAGTCCTTACCGCGAGATAAACAATTTTCCCAACAGCGGCGTCGGACGAAAAGCGCTCCGCGGCCTCCGAAAACCAGCTTTTACTTTGCTTTCCTTCTCTTTCTCTCTCCTCAGATATTTTGTTTTAAAAAAAGATTTTTCTCTCTCATCAAAACGAGCTGATTTCCTTTTAAAACAAACCTGATCGGCCCGGCCGATCGCCATATCGTCCAGGACGATGTGAACAAAATCCAATCATCCAGGACGATATCTCAGAACGATAATTAATTTTCTCAGACGATAAAAACCCTTGCTCATTGACTTTTGCCATGCACTGATCGTCCCAGGACGATCCAAAATCGGCCCGGACGATCCTGGAAGGAAAATCAGACCTTGGAAGGCAAATCAAAGGAACGAGCTCTCACATGAATAACCCAAATCTCCACCACCGCTATGAAACCAACAAGCATAGAGAAGAACCAAAGGCAACCAGAACCAGCAACACATTCACAAAATTATTTCCTATCACGTTTACCCCTCCCAAGAGAGGAAACAAAAACAACAGAACGGTCATTCTATAAAGCAAAATCATCCTCAGGTTCATCATCCTCACTTGCCTCCGAAGAGGAATAGGATAAGCATTCAAGCCAATCTATTTGCATCCTCACACTCTCCCTTGAATTAGCACCCACATGTGAAACCAAAGCCTCAGGTGATATTAGATTAACATGAACCTCAACAAAATGGCTTGATGCTTGAACAGTAGGAGTCACCAGGGAAAGAATTATAGGGACAACAACACGAGCAGAGACATCACCGATAGGGTGAACAAACACAGCCAATGCATCAAAATTTAGGTGAGAGATAGAATAAGCCGAGCCAGAAGACTCCTGGGCAACAACCCGATTCAACGCATAGGAAACAAAATCCTCTCCCTTCGAATGAACAGGCCACGACCAAATGGGTTGAAATAACAGCAGGGGAACGAATGGTACCCAAATTATTAGAATTCAAAACAACATCACAACTCATCGGGTCAGCCAAAACATGAGATGAAGAGACAGTCCCAACCGACAAGACCACAACAGAAACAAGGGGAGGCAACTCAACTAATTGATCCCCAATAGCAACAACATCCACATCACTATTCCCAACAGCACCAACAACAGGACTACAAGCATGATTAACTTAAACTTTATCCTTACTACAAGTAATGGGGTCCGACAATAAAACCAAATCATTAACAGCAGGAGAGTTAACCACATAGACAACACCAAGCTAAGGCACATCAACTACCTCCCCCTGTTCAAAATCCAAAATAGAAAAAGATTGCTTAAAAGGTACAGTAAGAGGGACACCATTTTTAGACTTACATTCCCCCCTAGCATGGTCGATTGACTGACATTGAGCACAAAAAGGGGGGGGGGGCATTTCGACCTTTTGGATATAGTCAAGCTTCTCAAGGCCAATCCATACATTGTCCAGATAATTTTTTTTGATATAAATCTCAACCAAAACTCTCGTAATAGACAACCTAGATCCCAACGAAGTGGCAGAATCTATCCTAAGCGGGTTACCAAAGATCGACCTTAAGGCATGAAGAATCCTTGGGTTAAAGAGATAAGGATGGAAACCAAGAAAAGAGATCCAAATAGAAATAATCAGGCATTCAACAGTGATATCCAAAGGAGTCCATTTCATTAATTGCATATAGCAATTATAAAATTACACTCCATATATTCCGTTTTAGATCTACTCAAGCGAAAACCTTTCGTCTCTAATGTTGACCTACATAATTCAAGTTTACTTTCAACTCCCTCTCTAGTCTTATCAACAAGAAGAATATCATCAGCAAAAAGCATACACCAAGGTACATCCTCTTGCAAATGTCTAGTGAGAACATCCATGACTAAAGCAAAAAGATATGGGCTTAAAGTTGATCCTTGATGTAACCCAACCGAAATAGGGAAATACTTGGTCAAACCACCTTGTGTTTGAATACAAGTAATAGCTCCTGCATACATATCTTTAATGATTTGAATATAAGCATTATTAACTCCTTTCTTTTTAGGAACTATAATTGATATTGACCCATCCCAATAAGAACTGTTTGATACTCTAATACTATGATTTTATATTATGAATGTTACTATGCAATTTTGTTATGTTTATTTGAAATGCATTGTTTCCCAAGATATTTAATTCATATGTGCACTAATCAGAAAATGAAATTATGATTTGGTTGATATGATTGGTGATCAATTATGTTCTATTTATTGATGTTATGTAGTAGAAATATTGAGAATGATATTTTTTGGAGTAAAGATTGTAATAATCTAAAATTTTAAAATAAATTTATTTTAAACATAAGAAAATCTGATAAGGCATGTAGTGTAGCAGTGCCATGAATTACTAATGAGGTAGTGAGTTGTCTATTCTATAGTAACTTTAGGGTAATATGCAATGTAACAACACTAGATCTTATGCACCGCAGTTCTGGGCAGTAAAATAATTTTTTAATATTATTTTTAATATAAATTTCCTTGCCATCCACTATTCCCCCATCCCTCATTTCATTGGCTTGGGAAAAAGGAAATAAAAGAGAAGGGAGAGAGAAGACATAGAAAGCTCTTCGGGGCTTTTTCGTCCATCGGTTATGCTATATAAAGTATTATGATCATTGTAAAAGACCTCTACTCTACTTTTACTTTCAATAATTTTGAGTTTAGTATATTCTTTCTCTTGAATTTAGAAAAAATGGTAATATTTGTGGTTTTAATGAAAATTCATTGTGTAACTTTTTATATGCAATTGAAATCATTATTTTGAATATTTTGACTTGTTTATATAGAAATTTTATTTGCTAGTTTTATTTGTATGTTATTTTATTTGAAATGAGTTGGATTGATAGGGTGTAAAAATGATCATGAGTAAATATACTAAATTTGGATATAAGATACATGATATGCATATGGTTATTCTTTTGGCATGACATATATTTTGGCATAATATTTGCATATTTATGAGCACAATGTATATATATACTTTTTAAAAAATTTATATGTGAATGAATGCATTTTTTATGTTTATGAATGGATTTTTTTTAATACAAATATTGTGAATGACTATATGCATGTGCTTGAGTAATAACTGATCGCTAGTACTTTAAAAAAATGAAATATTAATATGTGTGAAAAATAATGAAAAGATTGATTTTATTGACATTTGATGGAGAATGGTTGACATGTATATGATGGTGGATCAACAGACTTTCATTTAATAATATGATTTAGTGTTATACTCTACTGATTCATATGATACTGATTTGGAGTTATAAAGAATTATTACTATGCCGACAGACAAATGAGTGATGTCTCTGTTTATTGAGCCAATAGTTATTGACTACGGATTACTAATACTTGAAAATATCGATTAAGTCAGTACATCTTACAAGATTAATATGATTACTAAAATGAATATTATTGATTCATTATTATTATACAGCTTTACTATTCATTTTTTACTAATTTATTATCATTGTATGAATTTACTATTACTGGTGTGAGTTTACTAATACTGATATTATCACTAATAATGATATTTATGCTACTACTAGTATATTGATACTATTATTACTAGAGTTATTGATTTAATGTATTATTTACTAATTGATTGATTATGTGACTTCCTTAGCATCTGAATATCATACTGCACTGATATTGATATAAAATATGATTATTATTATTAGCTTATTGTATTGATATTAATCCTCCTGATTTACTGCATTGACATGATTTATGGTAGTCTTTTATCGATACTTTAATTTTACTGATCTATACAATTCATTTATTTATGGCGGTCACTAACTGATAGTACTTGATACAACAATAATTTTATAGTTTCGACACTTATACTAATTCATTGGTTTTTATAATGTACTATTTTTAGTATTTTTCATATTGTATTATTTTACTTTTTATCGCCTATACTGCTATTGTGTGTTAGTTTTATTATTTCTGTACTGATTCATGATTATATGACTAATACTGGTATTGATTGGCGACATGCATACAACTTCTTTTATAGTGCTTTGAATTCAGTTATAGGATTTTAATAACCTTCTACTATGTTTAGTTTATTACATGTAGTTTAAATAATTTCACGTCAGGGCAAGGAAGCAAGAGTGTGAGATTGATCAGGATTTCTAATTGGATTCTTTTTATTTTTATTTTAGTTATTTTTTTGTACTCATGAATAAAAGGATGTGTTGTAATTTTATAATTATCGAGTATTGTATATGATTTTGGAGAAATGAATAGAGATGCATATGGATGTTTTGATCAATAAAATTTGCTTTTGGTGATATTTGATTTCATTACTAATAAATGAAATTAAATAGCTCTGATTGTAGTATATTAAAAGATAAAAAAATGAATTCTTTCAAATTAGATTCATTAGCATCACATGAAGAATTTGACCTCTTTTACTTTTTTTTTTTTTCAATTTAGTATCATAAAGATAGAATTGTTTAAAACATACCAATAATGCATTTTTAAAAATAGTTAAAATAATTATATTTTCATACATATACATATATATATATATATATATATATATATATATATTTAAAATAGTTGCACCAATTATAATATATAATACTAGAAATTCCTAAAGAAATAACAAATCAAAGTACTTCTCTTATTCAAAGAGCAGTAGACCTTCCGCCATCCATATGTTTTTCCTCTCGTCTTCCCTCGCCAATTCAAAAGACTGTAATAAGCTCTTCTTCTAAACTTCTGCAACACCAAATCTCTCTCTCTCTTTCTCTCTCCCACTCTCTCTCTCTAGTTCCTTGTTAACAATGCTTTCATAATTAATTACCTCCTCTTCCTCAACTCTTCCCTCCCTCTATGGCTCCCGAACAACCTCTCCTCATCTCCTCCCCGCGCTCTTCTGATCAGCCCTACGACTTCTCCACCATAAACGTAACAGCTCCCGCCACCGAGCCCCCTCCCACCTTCTCTTCCTCTTCCTCCTCCCTGCACAACCCCAGCCGTCTACTCCCCACCACCGAAAACCAATCAAAACCTCATCTTCCACCTCTTCCCCGTCGATACAGCTCGCGCCGCTCCTTCAATTCCTCCCAAAAACTATCCGAACTCAACGAATCAAACGCCCGCTTCGTTTACATCAACGACCCAACACGCAGCAATTCCCCTCACCAACACCCCTCTAACTCAATCCACACCACTAAATACTCACCCCTCACCTTCCTCCCCAAAAACCTCTTCGAACAATTCCACCGCATAGCCTACATCTACTTCTTCATCCTCATCTGCATCAACCAAATCCCCCAACTTGGCGTCCTCAGCCCTGCCGCCTCCATCCTTCCCCTCGCCTTTGTCCTCTCCGTCACCGCCCTCAAAGACGCTTATGAAGACTACCGCCGCCGCCTCTCCGACCGCTCCGAAAACTCGCGCCTTGCTTCTATCTTCTCTCCCACTTCCTCCTCCTTCGAATACAAACCGTGGAACCAAATCCGCGTCGGCGAGCTCGTACGCGTCGCAGACGGAGACCCCCACATTCCCTGCGACCTCGTCCTCCTCTGCACCAGCGATCCCACGGGGGTCGCCTACGTCCAGACCATTAATCTCGACGGCGAGTCAAATCTCAAGACCCGTTACGCCAAGCAAGAGACTCTAGATAAGCCGCCGGAGACCCTCTCTGGCTCAGTAATCTGCTGCGAGAAGCCCAACCGCAACATCTACGGCTTCCACGCCAACCTCAACGACTCCATTTCTCTCGGCCCCTCCAACGTTGTTCTCCGTGGCTGCGAGTTAAAGAACACAGCTTGGGTCGTTGGCGTCGCTGTCTACACCGGAAAGGAGACCAAAGTTATGTTAAACAGTTCCAGTGCGCCATCAAAGCGGAGTAGACTTGAGACGCATATGAACAGGGAAACCGTTCTTCTTGCCGTCGGACTGTTCGCGCTTTGCGCAATCACGACGGTGCTCGGTGGCGCATGGCTCGGGAGGCATAAGGGGGAGCTTGATGTGCTGCCGTATTATAGAAAGAGGGATTTTTCAGGGAAATACGTGGGGAAGTACGAGTATTATGGGATCGGGTGGGAGATAGTGTTTACCTTTTTTATGGCGGTGATTCTGTTTCAGGTTTTGATTCCGATTGCTCTATACATTTCGATGGAGTTGGTGAGATTGGGGCAGGCGTTTTTTATGATACAGGATGATAATATGTTCGATAAGGAGAGAGGGAAGAGGTTTCAGTGTCGGGCTCTGAATATAAATGAGGATTTGGGGCAGATTAGGTATGTTTTTTCGGACAAAACAGGGACTTTGACGGAGAACAAGATGGATTTCCGTTGTGCTAGCGTCGGAGGAAGGGACTACAGCGGCGGCGCCGGCGTCGGCGAAGAAGAAGAAGAAGGAGATGGCGTCTCTGTTATTGGTAAGATATCTATTATTTTCGGACTAAGATTATGTGATCGAGCAAAATGTGCCATCAATTAACAACCTACAAATTTCTTTAATAAAATATTAATCAGTCAATAATTTTGGTCTATTAGAGAACATAAATCTACTTGTACTTTGATTTTTTTTTAATTTATTTATATTGTTCTAACGCAGGATTATTTATTAAGAAATTTAATATATGTGCCAATTTTTTATTGATAACTGCCACTAAGAACTTAATTTATTAATAGAAAAAATAGTCACAATTTTTGGATCAAAAGTAATGCTATAAATATTTAAGTTTCAATATAATTTAAATAAAATAAATGAGACAAAAAATATTTAACTGCATTTCTTTAATAATCTATTATTAAAATTACGGATGCAAGTGAGTCAAATTTTTCGCTAACGAGCTGGTTCATTAATCCAATGACCAACATGTAAATGAATCTAGTTGTTTGTGTTTTTATTTTCCTGTGAGCAGTGGAGGGGAAGCTGTGCAAGCCAAAGATGAAGGTGAAGACTGATCCTAAGCTAGTCGATGTGTTGAGGAACGGGAAAGGGACAGAGGAGGGAGATAGAGCTCAAAAATTCTTCTTGGCTTTGGCCACATGCAATACCATTGTGCCCATTTTTGCAGAGACGAGTGATACAACAGAGAAGCTAATAGACTACCAGGGCGAGTCGCCGGACGAGCAGGCGCTACTCTACGCAGCCGCTGCATACGGGTTCGTGCTGGTTGAGCGCACCTCCGGCCACATTGTCGTCGACGTCTCCGGCCAAAGACAAAGGTGCGTACGTACTCTTCCATCTCTTTTATATTTGAAATTTAACTGTATTTCTTCCTTTTATCTATGCTTGCTAGCTTGCCATGAATTTTATTTCTTTATAAATTATAATGAAAACATTTGAAAAAAAATGTAAAGGCATTTATATAAGATATACAAAACATCATATAGTATACTATATAAGATATCAATTTTGACAAAAAAGTCGTCATAAGCCGATTATTTTGTTGTCGCCGACCACCCCCAACCACCATTGCCTTCCCTCGAGAGTCAGCCTCCTTCCAACCACTATCGCCCACCTCCCCTCAATTGCAGAACTTAGGCATCCACCATCGACCTTCATCATTGAGACATTGACTGTCATCCACAAACATCTATCATTAATTGTCCGTCATAATTATTATTTTACTTTATATTATATTTATTTTATTTTAAATAAAACAAAAAAAATCTTCTATATTTTTTCACACTCATTTAAATAACTTTAATATTATAATTTTTTTTTGTGCTATGGTTGTTTTACCTGCATTTATTTTTTTGATCAAACAAAAAAAAACCCGTTATCAGAATAGAAATGTATTAAATAGCGGTCAAAGGGACGGCGCCATCTTGAGAAATCTTGACTGGCGATTATGTTTACGAACAATAGAAATACACACGTGCGGGACTTAACGCAGTTAGCTTGAGAATTCCAAATCCTTCGTGCTATTCATGTTTCTAATTCGGTGTTGTGCTATCCCTCCGTTTCTAGATAGAAAATTTTCTATTCGCTTTTGTCCACATAGGAAAACTTAGATCCTGAGAATTCCTCAAATGTACCAAAGAGACAAGAACTTCATCTTCCACACGAAATCTGCCGATGGCAATTACCATCAGATGTCCCGTCGCAGGTCAGCGAGCCGCCGTGAAGAAGAAAGCAGAGGCATTTCGGTTCTCGTTGCAAACCTGCTTCGGCCTCCAGATTTCTTTTTTTTTTTTTGGGACATTTAGGCCATTTAAGGCAAACTCACACACACAACGCATTCACATGGACTCGAACCTTGGACCTCTTAGTTGGAAGCCTAAGCTCTCAACCAATAGGCCAAGGGGAGTTGTGTGCTGACCTCCAGGTTTCTTGAATGAGAAAGCAAAGGCGCTTGAGCGTTTCAGTTCCCCAGTCGTGTGAAGCCTAGCCTCGTTCGTTTGGTTCGGTCTGTCCGCGTGAAAGGAGACAAAGTAAGCGGCGGAAATTGTAGAACCTAAAATTTGCTTTTAATTGTAATTAAATAATCATGGATGAATTTAATTAAGCATTAATTATAAAGTCAATGGGGGCTATGCCCCAAGGCCCCCATGATAAATCGGCCCCTATTTGGGGAACTTTTATTTGGTCTGGTGAACGTACGCAACTTTACGTTCGGCCGCCAGTAGAATCGCGCCACGTGTTTTCATTATTTATCGCGCGCCCGACCCGGAATGAACCCAAGATTGCTCGGTATTGCTAGGTATTGGTCGATTTTGCTCGGCAATAATCAATACCGAGCAATACCAAACAAATACCGAGTTGTACCGAGTTTTGTAAAAAAAAAAAAAACTCGGTACAACTCGGTATTTGCATGATATTGGTCTTCACAGAGTGTTATTTCTCATTTTTGCAAAGAAATACCTAGCAAATACCGAGATGCAGAGGAACATTCGGTCGTAGGCAAAATGCCGCCTATACCGAGGCGTACCGAGTTTTTCCAAAAAACTCGGTACACCTTGGTATAGGCGGCATTTTGCCTACGACCGAATGTTCCTATGCATCTTTACACCGGACCAAATAAAAGTTCCTATTTGGGACAATTTTTTTTATTGCTCTTAATTTTAATTTTTATATTTCAAAATTATTTTAAATAGTAAAAAATTCTTCCTAAACAAAGCCTGAATTTATTCATTCCAACGGCCACATAAATCAGCGACGTTGCATGATTAATGCTGAAAATATGAGCATTCAGGTGTAGTTGGCTGCCTACTTTGAATCTTTTCCCGATTTATCACTTGACGGATAGAAAGTGGGATTTTTTTGCTAATTGCTTGCATTTAAGGTCCTCCAACATTTTAAAATTGCAGATTTACCATACAGTAAAAGGAACTCAGATTTTGAATTATATATCACTAGAGCTTGTTCATATTAATTTCCTAGAAGCTAATTTGAAGTGAAGGCGTTGATGTTGATTGTGGCGATGCATAATGGTGGTTGACATACCTGGAGGAGATTTTGGAGCAATTTATGCAAGAGGTCTTTATCCTCACTCTCCTATTATGTCGATGTAGGCGCAGACTAACTTACACTAATTTTCTTTCTCATTCTCTGAAGCTCATCCAGTGTTGAATGTGCATGTCAACTTGTGATTTTCGGACATGTTATAGCGCTGCTGTTAAGTTAGCCGCATGTTGATCATACAAACTCTCCTTGCTGTCTGCAGAGAAACTGGAGGCACAAGAGATCGATCCCTCATATGCATAGGCATGCCATCATAATCCAAAAATGTGTGCATTTTGCATTTCACCGACTACATGCGACCAAGTGCGGTAATTAGAAATATCAGCTGAACGCATAGAGGATCCTTCACCACCTGTAGACTGGCTCTCTCGAAGCCATGTATACACATCCTATAAAACGAAACATAAAATAAATCATTGTTTAATCGTCACTTATAATATTCTCTAAGTATTGTAGCATTATATATTTACATAGGCCCACCTCGCTTACTTATCCACCCATTACTGGTCTTCCTAGGGATTGTGTGTGTGACTGTTTAACTCAATAGCATGGTCTGGCAACCAATAGAAATCTCATTATATATAACAAATTAGAATAAAAATTATTATTTATCAACATAATAAAAGATGGATAAATGTTATGAATATTGTAACTTACTAACCCAAAACTCCCTAAATCACATGTTTCTCACCTCCTTCAAAATTTTCTTCTAGGAAACATATAGAGCATCAAACCTATTCCATATGATATCATATATCTTGTGTGTGTGGGCTGCTTTGATGGATAAAACCTACAAAAAATATTTCGTTAAAAATATTACTTCTCAAATATCTAAGTAAGATAAAACATTCATTACATATGTGTCACCCTTGGGTTGAACCAATATGCATCCATCAGTGGTCCGTGCTGCTTTAGTCTACGTGAAAGATCCAAGTGCAAAGGGCTCAGGGGGTGGTGAATAATAAAATGGAGGAACATATGGTGAATAGGGATAAATAGAAGGAATGACAATTTTAAGTCATTGATTAAAAGTTGAAAGAACATATATATCTTTGCTTTTGGTTTATATAGGACCTGAATGATAATTTTCAAAAGTATGTAAGGTGTAGTCATACACAACTCTAGATAATGATTGTAAAGTGTGAGGATCACAGGCTAATATGAGTAAGGTGAGGTGGATTGGCTAAATGGAGTAAAACCATTTACACATAAACTAATCTTATATTTCTTGGTTCTGCGATGAATATATGATGTGTATGTATGGTCTAATTGTTTTTAGACTTCTTCTTCTGACGAATGTGTCAGAACACCTACTTGGAAGATGTGTTTGTTATGCCATCTCATATGTATAGTATAGCTCATATATGCATATAAATGTTACAATATGAGAATGATTGGTAAGTAAAATAATCAACTAATTGGCACATCCTTCATTTTTTTTAGAATTTGGTTTAAACATTGACGTGATATAATGATAACATGCAATATCTAACAAATTATCGTCGTAGTATAACATGCATCTGTTAACAGAATAATTTATTTTTATAATTGTTAAACTAATATTTTAGTCTAGTATAAATCTATTGAAATTATATTATCTGTAGGGTTGCTCTCCATAACTAAGTTAATGAATTGATTAACGCATTCTCTAAGTACATTGTATTATGTCGTTATACTCAATATCTTCACAATAATGTATAACTTTGACCGACTAGTATACACATTCCAAATTGGTTGTTCCACGACATTTAATAAATCATAAAAATTTTGTGCATCTTTATTCAAGGACTCTTCTGTATATTATTGAAATTGTGGCCTAGTTACATCATAAACCAAATCCTCGAATGTCATAATTATGTCTTCCTCAACTATGTTAGAACTTTTAAACTGGTGAGAGTTGAAATGAGGCTCATACTCATCATGTGAAGTCCAATACCAATATTTTGGCATGAATTCTCTGCAATATATATCAACAATAATCTCCTATGGTGTAAGGTAGGCTTTATTTTTGTGTTTGAAATATGGATAATAAAATCCTCCCTTTGATATAAAAGAAGGTAATTGACAGCCTACCTTAATGAAAAAATTCATCCCGTTCAAGAATTCATCTATTAACAACATGCGTCTAGGAAATAGTCTATTATGCGTCCAACTTAATTCTATGATTTTGAATATCCATAACACACTTGAGCTATAAATTCTTACAACCAAATAATGAGATATGTATCAATTTAATGTTATTTATGTATAATTATCATCATAAAAAAATTAATAATGTGTGAAAAAACTATCTAAGGTGACTCTCTCTAATCTTTTATTCCACTGGAGCTACTCCAACCTTTTGATGTATATGCTAATTTTGTATCCTATTTCTAAGAGTAAAGCCACTCATCCACTTGAGTATCCTCATCTATGCAACACTTAACTTAATATTATGCTTTTTTTCTAATGGAAAACATTTTGTACGATAAGGCATTGCACGTCTCACCACCATCTTATAGATATTTTGCTTAAGTTTGAGTGGGACTTTTCTATCACACAACAAGCCCAATGCATTCCTCAACTCCGACCATCCTACCATCCCCATGTATTTCACCATCACTCTAAACAATAGACCTAAGATATCTAAAGTGTGTACTCTTATTATGACTTAATCGCCCAAAGTCACAATCCCTCCACTAGATCAGTTACTATTAAAATTACACTACATATATTAAGTTTTAGATTTACTCAAATGAAAACCCTTAGACTCTAAGAT